ATTGGTACATGAAATTAAAATTTGATGTGTAGGATAGCTTATTAGATAACCCGTGCCCTCAGGATCCGTTAATATGGAGGCTAATTTCATTATCTTTGATCTGATAATCTTTATGGGCTCTGCGATGTTAGTTCTATAATGAACAATATTGACCGAGGTCCAACATTATGCAAGCATGACTGAAAGATAAAATCCTCTGATATTTTTGAGAAGGAAAATCGAACCAGCGAACACGATACACCGACCAAATTAAAGTTCCGTGACTGCCTTATGGTACGTATTCCTTTAAAAAAGGATTACTGTAAATTGTTGAAAGCATTAGCTGATATTTTGTCATTATAGTTACATTATGATAAAATATGCAGAAAAAATAGGCGCGAAATAATCCGTTGCATGTAGTTGAAAAATGCTTGACGCACTCGGAATCTCCTGATCTACGACATATTTTCCTGATTATTCTTGATGTCATCAAATATCCTGATGACATCAAATGTCCTGATGAGATCAAACGTCCTGATGACATCAAATTTCCTGATGACATCAAAATTCCTGATTATTATCGCTTTTTACTAACAGTAGGCGCCCTGCATACCGACTCATGCAGTTCACGCAAATTCTTTAAAATGCATGGAACTTTCTCAGCGAAAAGCTTTCCATGAAATTTCACTTAGCATCAACTCTGGGGTGAACCATATTCAAAACGCATTAAATCTGGCTGAGCACCCTTCCTCCCCCTCCACATTTATTTTATTTTTTTATGTATTTATTTATTTATTTTTTTTTTCATCCAGCTCCACCGTCGATTTGGGAAGTGTGAAATCCCTTCATCACCCTCGCATCATTGTTTGTCGAGCGCACTTCAATTTCTCGGGAAAATGACTGCGACAGACGAAACCGCGCCTTGGAAACCAATTTCCGGCGCACGGGCTCATCTGCTCTCCGTCGAGACTCGCGACAGGGTTACCGGATTTTCCGGAAAACCCTCGACGCCCCCGCCCCCTTTCACTCCTAGCCCCACCCTCCCCCTTCCCTGCACGCCCCACAGTGGATCGAGTCAATAGGAGAAGTCGGACAAAATTTGGAAACTTCAAGAGCTCATAACTCCTAGAGTGCTTTTATAGGGAGAGTATTGGCAACTCAAAAATTTGGAGGTTAGGTTTGATCGGGTCATGTAGCTCTTGGTGCCCAACAGGGCAACCAACCTATGAACTCGAATTATCGAGTGGTACTAATTTTCACAATGGTAAACTGCATGAGTAGGTACACTGATCAAAAATTATAAAAGCACGTATAAAACTTTGATTTCGCATAAATGTTCTCAGTTTCAAAGTCTTAATCCTTAAAGACGCTTGTTTACAATGCGCTGTAGGCCATATTGATTAATCTTACAAATGCATAGGTTGGAAGCGGCACTCCTCTAGTGATTTTCGTTTTACACGTTGTCGCCCTTTTGTGCCCTAAGAGCTACATAAATCGAGTTGCCCATACTCTTCCTATAAAGGTACTCTAATAACTCCATTTATACAAAATTTTGAGGTTCTAAAAGTGGTTCCATTGGTTTCCTCGTGAAATTTGCTGATATTGGTACCTCTTAAAATTCAAATTATGACGGATCAAACATCAAATTTTGCAGTTTTAGTCAAAACTTTCATGTCCGACTTCTCTGATTGACTCGATCCACTGTGCGCCCCTCTCTGGTGGGATTCCTCAAAATTTGGCTCAGCTGTCGCGATCGCGAGGTGCGTGAGGTGCTCAGCTCCTGCCGGTGATCAAGGCTGACATTAGCGTCGCATTGAAGGTGCCTTGAATACATCACGCGGAGATAAACTAAACGTTCACTTCTCGTCTTCATAATCGTCTCGTTTCAACGAGGAATGTCTCTAGTTTGAATCGACAGCACAGTCTGGGCCCTCCCCACCCATGTGAAAATGTTCACGGAGAAAATCAAAACTATCACTCTGACGCTCATTGAAAAAGCTAAAAATTTGGGTTTGATCAGTTGCGCTGGTTACAGAATCGTGTTTTGACGCTTGATTATTGTAGATTAGCTATAAAAATAAGAAGATCCGTTTAAACAGCAACTTCCTACGTTTAATATTAACCGAGATATCGCGCTTTGAAAAATTCGGTTTGTGCCATCCACCGCAGTAGTGACACCCTTTCTTTCTTCCACCTTGCCTTCAACTTGCTTTCGCTTACGTTCAGTAAACAGTGCAAATGTGTACCTCACCGATTGATAAAGTCAAGGTGAAAGAAACCAAGGGTGTCACTTCCGCGGTTGATAACATTAACCGAATTTTTCAAAGCGCGATATCTCTATGAATATTGAACGTCGAAAGTCGCTGTGCAGCGGACGGATCTTTTTATTTTCACCCAATCTACAAGAGCCAAGCATCAAAACACGAGTTTATGCCTGGCGTAATTTGACTTCAATTTGCAATTAAGAACTATAATTTCTGGCTCATCCAAAAAAACTCTTTTTTGGGAGAGAAGTTTTGGAAGTGGGTCAAAAAATGGTCGGAAATGGAGTTAACTCTAATTGGACTCCATTTTGCAATTTGGAACTACAAATTCTGGCTCATCTAAAAAAACACTTATGTGCATAGGGCAACTAATGGTACTTATGTTGTTTTTAAACTGAGCTGTAATTTAGTTCCTAATTGCAAAATGTGGTCCAATTGACCCATTGTGCTTACTGCCAAAATGTATTTTACTATTTTTAATGGATCCTTCCATCGCTTGAAGCTTCAATTATACTAAAGTTGGAAGTCCCGCGAGAGTTTTATGCTATAACGTTGGCAGAGGCAAATTCTGACTAGAGCTATAGAGGAAAAAGAGCTGACATGACAGACAGAGCTCCTTTTAGCATGAATACGTCCAATTATTTCCTGGGTATGATGATCCAAATAAGTGTTAAAAAACAAGGCTGTGAACCTAACTCTGTTCGACTCAGCAAGCGCGGGCAATTATTTCTGCGCCGCGTATTCACGTGAGCACGCGCTGTGAAACAGAATATCGTAACAAGCCATACAACAGTAATTGTTGCACGCAATAATTATTATTACTACTATCTACCGTAATTCTACAGACATTGTAGGGTTAACTGGTGCTTGCACACATTTCATTGATTTCCATTAATTTTTATGCTGAACTCATGACAGTGAACCGATTCCGTGACCACAAAACTGGAAAAAAGTAGACTTGAATTTACTGTCAAGAATATTTCTTCTTGATATAGGCATAATTGGACCGCGTTAAACAGAAAGGAACCAAGCCACATCAGCTATTGCCAAATTTAATTGGGCAATTTAATTTTTTACATGAAAACGGTTGTGTGCGGATTTTCGTGCAAATTTCAGTGAAAATTCTCCGTGGTGCGAAACAAATTCCTTAAAATGTTCAAAGGAATCCGAACAACCGTTCTCTCGAAAAAAATATAATTGCCCAGTTAAACTTGGCAATCGCTGATGTGGCTTGGTTCCTTTCTGTTAAACTCGGTCCAATTCCTCTTTGCCTCGACAGAAAATTCTTGTTGGCAACGAATTGAAGAATATTTTCGCTTACATCAAGTCGCTTTTATCCCGTAGCAAATTTAGCCATTAGGGGCCTTCATAGAATAAATAACGCTGAAGATCTGATTTTTTGACTCAGCGCATCCGTAACTCAGATCTGCACCTTCCCTAAAAGATTACCAAACCTTTCCCTTAAATTGGCGTTCAGTGATAAATTTAGGACGAAAAATTGCCAACCCCCGTGGATTTTTCATCTTAAATTTTCGGAATATCGCCACTAAGCGACCATTTTAGCATTACGCGACGTAACCCTGACGCTCCTCCCGCATGTAACGCACCCGTAACGCGGGCTCAAACGCCCTCCCTCCCTAGAAATTTACGCATTTTATAAGCGGCTTCTTAGTACTCGCCATGTTTATATTCATAGTCGTAAGGCCTCGGCCTCGAAGACCATATATGATTAACATTATGATTCAGGCGGGTTTAAGGCGATCTTCAACACAGTATTATAAAAATGACAAATTTTGCAACCTTTGAGTGACAAAGTCAGCACTTAAACCATAAAAATGGCTCCTTAAAAGGGAATAAAATGATTCGACGCTGCATAACGTACAAATCACATGAAAAATACATTGCGAGTTTTGTACATTTGAAGGTAGATTACTACCTGCTACCATTAAGATGATCAAAATCAGAGAATTTTTTCTTGTGTATCTTGCACTGTTGCTACGGCAAATCCTTGTAACTCCTCTTAAGAATCCATTTTCATAATTTCATTACTGAATTTTACTCAAAGTTTGCAAAAATTGTCCATTTTCTGACATTGTTTTGAAGATTTCTTTAACATCATCTTCATCATGATGTTAACCATAACGCTTCATAACCAGAATCCGTAACAAGGTCTCCTAACGGAAAGAGCTATTCAATTCCTCGTTTCCCTCACGAAAGAACGTAACTACATTTCAGTGCTGCCAAATTTCCCCTACTGTATTTTCACCAGAAGAATCTTTGGCATTTCTAACTGAAAATTTTACTAATTATTCTTCCGATCTAATTCAAAAATGAGAAAAATTTCGAGAGGAAACTGCACGGGTACATTCTTGTAGAAAATTGAATTGCTTCAGTAAATGTTGCAACCTTGGAACAGAGTTACGTTCTTTCGTCCGGGAAGCGACGAATTAGGGAACGACTACGCTACCGTGCTAAGGAAGAACACCATATGAACATTCGAGGGTTGCCGAATTTCTTTCGATAAAATGTTTATTTTTGAGGAAAATTTTTAATGTTTTTCCTTGAAATTTTCAGGAAATTTAGGTGAAATTGCGAACAAAATAATCTGAAAAATTAGAAGGAAAATATTTATAAGTTTTTCAAGAAATTCCCGTTTTATGAATGGAAATGTGGCAACGCTTAAAGGTTCTTACGACGTTTTTCCTTATCACGGCAGTACGGCCCTCAGTCGCTATTCGAATTTAACCGAGTGCTCACCTAAACAAAGCTGAAGAACGATGCAGCTCCAACTGATGACCGTGATGACAGTTGTTATCCGCGGTAACCGCTGAAGGCAGCTGAACAGCTTCATAATGGAGCAGCAGACGACACGCACTTAGTTGAGCAATTTATGACCGCACGCCGCACACCTCTCCACCGACGAGGAAAACACACTTCGAGACAAAAGGCACATCTTTAAAAGTGAATTCCGCCCTGCGGGAAACTAACATCCCTCGTTTTCCGAGAGGCCAAATCAATTTAACACCTTCTGTCATGAACGCGAATTCGGACGCTTATTTCCTCTTATCTTATACACGCCAATTTATGTTCCCGCATAGGATAAGTAAAAATGGCCAACCTGGCTGGTTAATTAATCTTACTAGTGTTTTTTTCTGTAGCCATGGTGGAGGATCCAACCTCCTGGGCTTTAAAAGCTTCGGCTATCGAATGATGCATTCGTTAGACAGTGATGGGCTCGCGCGACAGGGAAAAAGTTATAGAGGTTAAAAAGTGAGGTTAAAAACTAGCTCGCGGTTAAATTTCACAAAAATTCCAAAAAACACTCCCGTCTGACGAAATTGATAGAAATCAAGATTAATCCTGCCAAATTTTTCGATTCGTATTATGCAATACTACAAAATACCAGATTCCCATGAAACAGATAAAAAAAATCACGAGGTTTAAAACCGCTGATCAGCACCAAAAATAGCACACATACAGTATGGATTCCACACAGATTCCACTCGATTATTACTCGTCTGCGGGTTCAACCGGTCCAGACGTTTCAGATCACGCAACACAAAGATTCAACCGGATTCAACTGCACTGATCCCCGGCAAAAACCGGAGGCGGGCCCGGAAGTCACAGCAAGAGCGAGCACTGATTTCTCCGTAGGAAGTCGGGGCGATCAGAGACTTTCGGGTCTCGCAATCAGAGACCAACAATCACGAAAGTGCGATCACGCTGGGCGATCACGGTTCGGAGTCACGAAGAGCGTGGAAAAAGCGTGAGACAGCGTGACGCGGGGCTCCAGCGGGCCGAAGACGCAAACTGAGCGGCGCCGGGGTGGCGCCGACGCCCGCGACGCCGGAGCTACGCGGGGGGCGGGGGGGAGGAGCCTTTGCGCATGCACGGGGGCTACTGCTCCAGGATGCTTATCAGCCCTCATCGGCGAAGAGACAGTGCCGCAAATAAAGCCGCCCTTTGTAGTGACAGCCGCCCGTGTTTAGGGCACCGCTGAGGTGGAGTCCCTTTACGCCGGCCAATTATGAGTCGAAAATCATTGGTGGCGCGCCAAAGGGGGCTGCTTTTAGGGCTATTTAGTCGCTCCTCGCCCCCGCTCGCCGCCCCCTCTCCTCCTTTTTCGGGCCGAATTTATGTTGACTCGGTTTTTTTATTGAACACCGAAAAGAGCACAAAGAGATGAAAGAGATGATGATGAAAGTGAAGAGGATAAGATGAAAATGGATAGCCCCTTCCCCCCACCGCTGTCCCTTTCGCCTTTTTTTCTTTTTTTTGGAATGGGGAGCTGAATTTTAGGATAATACAATTTTTCACAACGAGTAAAGAAAGAAAAACAAGAGATGGAAAAGCTGATGATGAAAATGAATTAGAATAAAAGGAAATGCATGCGAAGAAGAGGAAGACTAGGAAAGATATGGGAAACGAGGAGATGCATGGAGTGGAAGATAGAGATGATGAAGAGGAGAAGAAAATAAAGAGGGGCAAAAGAAAAAAGAACGGGAAAAAATACCAAGCAAAACAAAATATGTAGGCGAAAGAATGATTGGGAGAAAGAAATGAAAGGAAAGAAGAAGATGTCCAAGAAAAGATTGAGGCGAGAGGAAAGATTTTGCAGATAAAGAGTAAGAAAATAAGAGGCAGGTTATTACTATTTTATTTTATTACATTCTCCAATATTTGACGGCACGCGCTACCCATATGTATTGAAAGTTAGTGGGAGTTTTCCTTCATCTTTATTGCAATGTTATCAAGCCGGATATGGGGCGGTAGAGCGGAGCGGACTCCAACAGAAAAACACGCCGTTAAAGTTAGGGCAGCTGGTCAAAGTTGAAGTGTGGCATAGCTTGCTGCATTGATACAATACACGCGACTCACTTATGAGCTACTACGTCGATGATCATTTCAGCAATCAGTGCGCAGGATGGCCTACCTCTCTACTTGAAGGCGAAGCGGCTAAACAAAAAATTAAATTAATGCTTTAACAATTCAATTGCTAAAAAAAGTGACTGCAATGTTTCAATATAGATTTCACAACACAAAAATGCTACTTTAACCACCCCCGTGGTTATATTAGCTTACGATAGTGGGTAAAGTAGCATTTTTTTGTTGTAAAATCTACGTTGAAACATTGCAGTCACTTTTTTTAGCAGTTGAATTGTTAAATCGTTAATTTAATTTTTGCCGTGCGTATACAGAAAAGGTATAGGTACGGCCACGTAGCCTTTAAAAGGTACAGCCAGGTACTATTTCAGATGTTTACCATTTTTCTCCTTTTATTTAATCCAGCTGAAGAAAGCTGAGTTTTCAGCCGAAACGTTTTGGTTTTATTCGTGAAATTTAGCTTTGTTACCCGCTATTTAAATTGTTTTATTGTTGTAAACACGTACACGTAATCTTAAATTTTATTGTATAAACTCAGCTTCCTGTGATTGGTTCGATTATTTCGTTAACGCGCGGTCTTCGGTAAGTTCTGACATCGACTCCTGAGCATGATATTTAATTTGTGATCTTAGCATTGGATTGGATTGGTGTTTCGCCGTATTCGAATGATCAATGTAACGTACACGTCTGACTTCCGAAATTGGGTTTATGCTTGCGGAGCAAAAGCTAGAAAAAAATGATTTAAAGGACTTTGAACACAAAAAGAGCAGAAAAACAAATTATGTGTCCGTTCTACAACGAATTTTATAGTTTTTTGCGGAAAATGTTATAAGAGCTAAAGGAGCTTAAGTTTGAGCAAAAACCCATAACGAACTTAATAAAGTGATGAAAATTCGATCAATATGCTGTTAAATGAAATTGATAGCAATTTTGTTTCACTTGTATCTCCGGATTTGATGAAAAAATGTATCAAATCATGAATAAATTTTATTAAAAATTGGTGGCGGCTTAAATGAGATTTCATAAAGTTTTAATGAATGGTGTAAATGGGTCGGTAGCTTTGCTTTCACTATTATCAAACTTGTAAAACACATTTGAAGAAAGGAAACTTTGAAAAAAAACGTCTAAGACGGGTTTCCTCATTTGATGAGTTTTTTACATTTACTACATGCTCTCAGATCTTCAGGTTTCCTCCAGTTTTTTAAAGTAAAAATATTTTAAATGCACGGCTAGTGGAAGAGCGGGCACTCGAACAAGTTTTTAATATTCTTTGCGCCTGTTCATCAAAATTTCTTGACAAATTTTTTATGAGCCTTTCGTACCGAAGGGCAGGTTGTTCCTTGTGCGAGGGGAAACATGTATAATGCAGTGCATCAATTCATACCTTGTCGACACTCTATAGGGTGTCCCGGAGTTAAACGGCCAGACTGTAATATTCTATTCCCTATTTTTGGCGGCGACGGTTATGGACCAGTAGCGAGGCGTCAATGATCGACTATCGATATTTTCCCATTTGAAGCTATGATAAAGAATCGATTGTTAAGGTGTTCGTTGCGAACACCCTGTTTATCGATCCTTTTCCATAGGTTTAAGGTTTAAATGGTAGATTAATCGATGCATCGCAAAGCACGCCACGCCGCACTGTTATGGGCGAAAACTTATGGTAAGTCACTCCGTCTCATAATATAAAACTGATTTCATCTGTGGTCTTAAAAATATCGAAATCTCAACAAGGCCGGGATTTCAAGGAGTCTTGAAACTTTCAAGGTAAAAATTTTGTTCTTTCGGCTATTCGCTCTAGTTTCTCGAAAACAGCCCCAGAGGGAAAATGTGCTACGGATCTCTTCTTTTTTAAAATTTTTTAAAGTCCTCTTTGTCGGCTCCTGGGGTGTGGTGGTTGTAGCGCTAGCTCTATGATCGTGAGGTTCCGGGTTCGATTCCCCGCCAGGCAACCCGAGTTTGATGGTCTCAAACAATGGCTGCCTGGGGCTGGTTGTTTAGTATATGGACGGTGGAGGGACGGGACTAAAGCGCGGGATTAGCCTTGGTGGGCTATTCGAAGCAGAAAAAAAAAACTGAAGAAACTATGCCTTAAAAAACACCTAACTAGGTCAAAGCAAATTTTGCACTTTGAAAAATCAAAGACCTCTATATTCTATACTATAATCCATCGCAACTCCCATTCAGTTTAAGATTTTTTTTTAATATTAAGTAATTGATAAATTTAGCGCGGAAAAGTCTAAGGTTTAGCCATTCTTCACCGATTCTAGGCCATAATCACGGATAATTTTCATTGAAAGGAAACGAAAAACCTCTCGCAAAGGTGGGCCGTGGCTACGACTGGGGGTATTCTGCGGGAGTAAAAACTTTATGAAGGAACAAAAAATCGATTTTAACCCACCGAATAATCTTCTGCAGTCAGGCCGCACAATGGAACGAGTCAATAGGGGAAGTCGGACAAACTTTGGAAACTTTAAAACCTTATAACTTCGCTTAAAAGTAACTTTGAGATTTTAAAAGTGGGACCTCCATAGGCACTCCTTAAAATTTAAAATGTGACGAATTAAACATCAAAATTTGCAGTTTTAGTGAAACATTTCATGTCCGATCTCAACTGAATCACTAAATACAAAAAGGGCACATGTCCAGAAAACCAAATTGTTCAGGAGACACAAAAAACTGTTTATTTCGTGGTAGGTATTTTTTTTAAACATAACGACTTTCCAAAAAATCTCTACCACGAAATGAACAGTTTTTTGTGTCTCCTAAACAATTTGGTTTTCTGGACTTGTGCCCTTTTTGTGTTTAGTGATTCAACTGACTCGCTCGTTTGACCCCGCGACACCCTGTATAGACCCATCGACGCACGACTTCCACACCTCGAAATTCTGCGGATCTTGAGCGGCAGACGGTGACTCTCGTAGTATGTTTGCCTACGACGAGGACGAACTCCCAGGGGCCAAATTCCACGCAATTACGAGCCTGCCCCTGCCGAACAACTCCTGCTGCGACAGCACAACGCGCCGCTTTAATATTTTATCTCCTTCAATATGCTCGCTCCCAAGTGCATATCAGCCGTGTTATCTGTCGAATTATATCTCTTTAATATGTCTTCACCTCCTTTATTGACTGCATCCACGAGTACATCACCCTCTCTTTGAAGAGAGTGCTTGCCCCCCCCCCTCCCCCCGCACTTTCGCCCACCGCTCCGCTCTCTCACCCTTCCGCGCCGTCACTCAATAATGGAGCGTGGAAGTCAGGAACGTACAGCGTAATGAAATGAATTACGTAATCTACTGTTCCTCTCGCGCTACATACTGTTACCCCCT